AAAAGTTTGCATGTACAAGAACTAAAGTAGTTAAAGATAAGGAAAGTCGTTAAGGGAAATCTGTTAGCTTAATTTCATGCTGGCTATATTACTTTACTTTTTGAAAGTTTCTATATACATGATTGTCGTTGTATATAGATTGAGTGTTACAAATTATTATGAATCATCATTATAAATATAAGTGGAACGAAATCTGTTTGTGAAGCATAAGGAATAAAGGAAGGCTTACATGCAAGGTCTATTGAAAGAGAAAGATCCTAAACTTCCCACCTCAGTTACGGAAGGGAAGGAGTAAATCCCGAGTGTCTTAAAGCGCGAAACATCTCAATGGAAAGAACAAGCGTCAAAGAGTAAATTCGAATTATATCATAACTACCCTTTGATATATTGTTGTACCGTTCTCAAAGCTACTCTTTCACTCGTACTTTCTGAATTAGTGAATTGATAAGATCTGAGTTATTAGCCTATCACAAGTAATTAAGGTATGACGACTTAGCATACGATTACCTGGTCACCGTCCCAAGATGAACAGATGAAGTAATACCCACTGTATGAATGTATAGTCTTGGAAATACTTGGAAATCAACTCCCAAAACAAATTGTGATTTGGAAATTAGTCAAATATATAGGCTTCTGTAACGAAACCCAATGTATATATATATAGATTTATAATTAGGTTCCCGGCACAGTCGTCAGAGCAAGCGCCTTTCATAAAGCGTGGGTTCGAGTCTCGCTATGGACTCATGTGAAAAGAGTCAGTCAACGCTCTGCCGAAAGTCGTGGGTTTTATCCGGGCGCTCCGGTTTCCTCCCACAGAGAAAGTTGAGCGGGTGGGTTATGATAAACATAGCTAGGAAAGTAATATATATATCCAAATAGTTGTAAAGATAAATGATGTAAGCCTAGGTATACAGGTAATATAAGTGAGCGTAATACTTGATGTACTGCGAGCTGAATATTGTATTGTGTGCATATGCATGCACTTAATCCCTATAAATAGCTTAGTATCTTTTTATAAAATCTTCATCTGGCCAAGTCTTAGCCATGTTTATTTACACATGAAAAATCAAAGACGTTGTCGCAAACATGTATATTTATATATGCTGTTTGAACGATTATAGAGCTATAAACATTTTAATTTAGAACATTTATTAAAATTACAGATCACCATGTGCATGATTAAAATACTCATTTTTAAAAACGCTAAATTTTCGGCTACGATTACGATTAAAATAGCGCAAATCTAGTATACATGGGGATATGACCAAATGCGCTTTACATCAAGTGTTACGCTTAATTATTTATTTGGCGTCGACAGTATGATTCTTAGTTCATTTAATAACTTGGGTCAAAAACCCTGCAAATTTAAACTTCCTTATTTTCCTTTTAGCGTCAGTATAGTAAACGAGAAACATTCTGCAGCTCATCCCATGCCAACTTCACTGTTTTCTTGACTTCGTGTAATGTTCGCGTAGGCCTATATATTCCGCGACAAACACCAGAATATCGCAATAAATCTCCTCGTCACGTGGTGCAAATGCTGCCTTCTCAATGGAAAATATGCAATACCTAAACAATGTTCTCTCTCGGGCAATGCTATATGACATCTACATGTAGACAGTATGGCTCTTCTTAAGATTTATAGCTGCATCGATCGAGCTATTAGTCCGATTTTAACGAAATGGACTGAGATCTTCAAACATATAGCTACGCTGTGAAAGGTTTCACAAAAATCTGTAATTTTTGTCAAAATTTGACTACATATAGCCTAGTACGGTTTACATTGCGTACTGCGCACCCACAAAACATCGCGAGCCCACCTATGATTTCAATAATACTTATGTCAAATTCAATAATATATACTTCTAAAATTAAGTCCTCTCAACAGGCATTTCTGTTGCTTGGGGTTTTTTCTTGCAACCACTTCCACCAATCTAAATGCGATGCCTGCGGAGGAGGCTATGTATGATAGTCACAACATTTTTAGTAGTTTTTGTTAAATGCCGCTATGATGTTTTAAGCATTGCCGAAATGTTAAATCTGAAAATATCATTCACATACCGTAATTGAAAGCCATTTTAGAAATTATCAAGCCATTATGGAATTGAGGAAGTAGGAAGATGAAAGAACACAGGATATACAATTGAATTAAAACCTCTGAAAGGAAAAGGTGGAACTACTTTCGTAATTTTGTTACGTAACTAGATCTTAAGATCAAGGACCGCATGCATGCTATTTTTATGTAATTTAAGAGACAAAAAGGGAAAGAGGTGCACGAACATTACCGCCGCCTCCAATATATTATACAAAGAGTATACACAAAGTCGAAGCTAATCAGTTCACCTTAAATCTATCATAACTCCATAATTCTACACTCGAGAAGCCTTGAAGCAGTAATTAAGTGGCAAACACTTTTTTGCGCGTTGTCCACTTCCAACCCCGGGAGAGACGGACTTGTACCAAGTCTGTGTAAGTATGTAGATAAAATTATGATTTTGCACACGGAAGGTTTAACTCCCAACGACTATTATGGCGTTCCATTGCGGACAAAACCACAAATAATAATATGAAAATAGTCGTATATAGTCCGAATATATAGTCTAAACGAAGTCGAAAACACGACTCGAATTAGAAGAGACGGTAGTCAAAATCGCCTTGATACATGCACGTCTTATAAAATTCAACTTTAATGCTCCATGATTGTAATTTTTTCACGATATAGTCTGTCAAGATTTGATGGTCTAGAAGGCCAAACATCAAAGTCCAAAAATAGAAGATCTTTGTTTGACGTTGAACTGTATCTCACCGGTACAAATATCGTACGTCTCAACTTAACTAGATATTATGATCGTGGTTGCACGTTTCACATGCTATCTATACATTGGAGAATTTTAATCGAACTCACTAAAATTTACAATATACTATGTTAAAACAAAATAGGAGACATTACAAACAGGAAAAGGAGTATTGGATAAGGGATCGATTGGCAAACGGACTCCAAGTTTCTACAAAGCACTGGCCCCGCACGTTAACTACAGCTAAAATTACACTATGCACATGACAACAGAAAATACACGTAAAAGTTCTCTAAAATTGCTGAATAGAATGCGCCATCTTCCGCCTTGTCAAACGCTAATTTCGGAAATCTAACATGGACCTATAATGCAGGAAATAAGTTTGTATAATTTCAATGTTGACGTATATCCTACTAAACAAGGGGCCCAGTTAAATTATATAGGAGTCCCTGAGACAAAGTGGCAAAGTTCGAGTATTTCAACAAATTAATTTAAACTTCACGAGTTTGGCGTAAGCTTCCCCGTCGCCACTTTGAGTGGGCAGGAAATGTGGAAATGGGTTATCTGCAGTTTAAGCCATGCTGCTGTGTTAAATATAGACACTGTCGCCTGTCGTTCCTATAATCCTGCTTATAATTTCGATAGTTTGTAGTTTTTAATGACTATACTTATACTTTTTGCTGTACTGAATATCTATCGTGTAGTCCTCTACTATTGCTTGAATGATCTAATATCCTGAATAATATAAAGATACTTCAATCATCAAGACAAAGGGATTTTATATTTTCGGGTTTCTTTCATTTTTAATTTGATTCGACCAAACTTTAAATATTACGATCCTCGTCAGATTCGCTACCTGCATGTACAGTATATTCGCTACGAAACTCATTCACCATTTTTACGGTATTTCAGAAGGACAACTTTGTTATCCATATAACTGGCTGTTATCCATAAAGCGATTCAAAGCTTGTCAGTTCCGTAAACAAACTAAGGCTTTCATTGGACTTTTTAAATTGACGTCTTCCTGAGTTCCTGAGTTGTCACTCAGACACGGACATCATCCAAAAATTGGTATATCTAGTTGTTGGCAGCATTTTCCATCAATAGCGCTCGTGTAAGGAAGCAAAAGACTTTAAATGTTTGACTTATTTATTCAGAAATCTGGCATGCAACCCTAGCTTGAGCTCACTGTACAGGATGTCAGACAATCACCAACTTTACGGCATGGCGTGCGTTAATTATACTCGGTGTGTGAAGATATAGTTTTTTCATAATTGTAAAGTGATCACTATTGCTTTCTCTTTTGTTATGCACTGCTTTAATTAGACGCAGCGGTGAAAATATGCGATTTTGACAAACAATTTTTGTCGGACTCGTATTTGTTCAATTGTTCTCTATAATGGATGAAGAACATGTATTCAACAGCCAAAATCCTGATTTTTATGGTTGTGGTAAAATTATGTTCATACACTGAGTAATTAACGCACAATGACATGCTAAAGGGGCATATGTTGTTCTTACCCTATATATACATTGATGTCTGTAATATAGTGATTCGACTGTATTTGTAACGGGAACTTGTTTGTATCCGCTATGTGTGGGTGCAGTTAAACGGCGAACTAAGGTAAGTCATTGGGGGTGTAAATAAATGACCGCGGTACAACGTCAGCAAAAACATATTTTTCCACCTCCACAAGATATTTTTCCACCTCCGCAACTAATAATGAACATTCGTTTTTCGACCACGTACTCTATTTTCCTATCCAATTAGCCACGAGATCCTGACTTTACCTTTTCAAATCTTGATTCAGAAAATGGGAAATTTAACTCTTTTCATGCAAATACAAGAATAAATTGTTCAGATCTCACTTTTTCCTGGGGAGTTTACCACCCGCGTGCATGGACAAAAACGTTTAAACATTTAATTACAACCAGACTATTTCGATTTTCTTGTCGGCGAAATTATAAATGGACACCTACAAAACATCTTTATAAAAAATTGTTCGTTCCTGTTAAGCTTCTTTTGTTGAAATATAGGGCGTTTCTCAAAAAGATCTTTGACAATGTTATTTATATAAACCAAACCGATCTTGTGATGCATATTCTTGACAAAGGAAAGAGATCCCCCCCCAAAAAAATGCAACAAACCCAAGCATGTCCGACCTGTATAAATAGGATGGATTCAAAACGGCATGGTCAGTTGGGAAAAGACATTGCACCAAAAAGGTGCTGGAGAAACATTTAATAATAAATCAACATGGCAATTAGCTGCGGGCTCGCCTTGCTCATTGTTATCCTCAGTGCTGGTAGCAATATTTTAGCATCACAAGGTATGTTTGTTATATTTACCATTTTATATATACCATTTATTGAAATATGGAGTTGAGGAATCAACATCTGGCGTCACTGACAGTTTGGTGTATACGTTACTTCAAGTAACACCGTGATTTTATAATACTGCAGAATTCTCGCGTTGGTTCGTAGTCCTGCATGCTTGCTATTTTCGCACCATTTATATAATGTATCGTAATCTGATAAATTTTTCAATAACATTTTCCTAAATTTATATATTTTACTATTTAATCAGAGCCACTCGAGCATCTTCGCCGACTACAATTTGCCCATAAATCCGTTATTTTGCCGACGAGATGTTTTCAGGGAGTGTCCCCCTTATAGCGCGACGGCCATGCTCCGAATTTTCTGAATAGGCTTGTAACTTTTCCGAATAGGGCAATTTTCTAAAAGTTTTGGGGCAGCATTCCCCATTTACCCCTTCGCTACGGCCCTGACAGATCATTCATTCTACAGGGGATATTAAAATTTGATACTCGTCCAATATAGATGATGTGACAACAATGATCATGCAAATGCTTTAAAATGTCTTCTGTTTAACAGACCCGCCATGAATAAATTTCGACCCGGCTCGTGTCAATTTTGTACAAGAAAATCACGATCATTCTGTGGAGAGATAAGAATAATGAGAACCACAAAAATTCTTTCGTCCCTGCAGGAAATGTTTTATTAAACCGTGTGCCAAACTGATGTTTGGATACACTAAAACGTAAGGTAATCTGGTGTCAACCATGACGCAAATTTTAAAGATTCAAGATTTATTGATAAAATGTACTATTTACAAGAAAAGAAAATGTATAAATCACACAAGATAATAATTTAAATTTACAATTTCATATTGAATGAAAAAGTGCGCAGTGGCCAATGGAGCATAAGCTTTCGAACAACAACAGTTGATTATGATTCGAACACTCTAACATAAACAATTAGTCGAAAAATAAGGTTGAACTTATATGCATACAAAATTAATACTAAAAAGACGCTTCTGAACACATGTTTCTGAAAATGCATGTTTACTGTTTAGGCGTTTCTCAATTCTTGATTTAGTAAAAATAAAACAGTTTTATTTGTTTGTACAAAACAAAGAAAGAGGAAGTCGTTGGAAAAAAGAGCTTTTAATTAACGTGCAGTAAATCGATAGTATTGGCTCTTGTAGGTTTCAGGCAACATTATATACGTCCTGTGTAAAGAGCAAATTAATCACAAACGCCTGTCAATTGGGCAAAGACAGTGCATGCTAGAAAGGCGTAGGAGAACGATAATACAAAATCAAAATGGCAGACAGGCTCGTTGTTTTCTGCTTTATCTTAAGTGTTGCTTTCTTACTATCAGAAGGTAAATAATAAGTATGTTTTTATACCTTTAACCACTGTATGACACACCATGTGTGAGCATGATATATGAGTATATCCCTTATTATAGGGGGCTACAGCATCTCAGGAAGGTACAGCATCCTCTATATCACACACTATATGTGTGCATGCTATATGAGCATATCCCTTATTATAGGAGGGTACATGCAGTATCTCAGTAAGGTACAGCACTTTAAATGCATTAATTTAATGATAGATTACGCATGGGAAAGATAAACCACATCATTTGGATGCCCTACACATAGTAGATCAAGAAAGTGAACAATTCTCGCACTGTTCCCGCAACTTTTGTGGTTTAAAATTGTACAATAAAAGTAATTATATCTCATTTGTGTCGGTTTTCTTTGATCGTCCGAGGTTTATAACTAGCTAATATACCTTGAATAAATAATTACATCAAACTTTCCGACAAAACGCGAGAATTTTTCATCAAAAATTTTTGAAAATGACAAAATATGTTAGAAAACCTCCACAAATGAGATATAAACCTCGAAAGTCGGTGTATAACTGATATATTGCCCTCGGACGCTTCGCGTCCTCGGGGGCAATATATCAGTTATAAACCTCCTTCTCGGTTTATAACTCTAACTTATAAGCATTGCATGGGCGGATTAGACTAGACTCTCCACTTCCTCAGCCACTTCCTCAGCCGTTGATCGTAGACGCCAAGTGTACATGCAGTGATACGTCTGCAAAGCGTGATTATATATAGTTTTATGTAGTTCAGGGTTGGAAATATATAAAAAATATAAGTTACCTTGGTTTGGAAGGGAAATTGACATAGACCATGTACTAAAAATGTCAACATTAATAACATTATTATGGGCCGGTTGTATCTTTAAGTAGTCATTTAACATTTTAACCAGCCGTTTTCATATCTATATCCAGGGTGTGTATAAAAAAGGGTAATTCAACTTTTGCATGACATTGTTAGTAATTTATTCACTGTATAAACGTATTTTTTTCATAATCATAAAGATCAGGATTTTATAGCTGTTAAACGACAAGTCTTTCATCCAACACGGAGAAAAAATGAGCAAATCCGATGAAAATCATTGCATGCATGTCGAAATACCATATTTTGTCTAACAAAAAGAGGAAACGCAATTAATAGGAAACGCAAACAAAAGGAAAGCAATAAATCACCAATGTGTCATTTTAACAAAGAGCTTAGAGCTGGTTTACAAGATGTTTATAATAATTATGCATAAGCAGTCTGGTATTTTATTGAAGTGAAACTCGTTAATTTAAGTCCCAAAGGGAATTAATTTTCAATAGATTTAGACCCAATTCTCAACGGTGAAAATATGCAATTTTGAAAAATAATTTTTATCGTACTCGTATTTGGGGGGACTTTTCAATCTTAAAAATATTCTTAATAAAATTATATATCGTGTTGCAATGACATTATAACAATTACTTTAAATACTTCATGTTCGAAAAAAATGGTTTTGTGCGAGTTTCTGCATGTAGGTATTTTCTTGTAGTAATAATAAACTGAAAATATTTCAGCAAGCTCATATTTTCAGTTGGGCTATAGCACATATACCCGAGTGATTATAGGACTTCTTACAAACATGAAGTGGTGTCACAAACACAAAAACGTTTTGTTATAAACAAAACTTGGCGGAAAGACCACTTCTGTATAATATACTGAGTGCATGGGATCAAGGTAGGGCTTATAATATAGCTCGCATCCTTCCTTATTGAAAAAAACACATAAAGGTATATAGGAAGCAGAGACTTACAGATGAAAGAAATTTCAGGTTCTTTCTATAATAATTGTGTGGTATTCCTCGCTCGTCGCATCAACAACAGAATTAGATTTACGACTTTACAACAGTTTTAAGACGCTTTAAGGTCAATACACACTGGACGTGATTCGACAACGCGACGCGATTTTTCGATTTTCACTGCATGACCGACAACTTTGATCCTACAATCCTAGACAAAACCATCTGCGACACTCTATTACTGAACATTCCTTTTTACCAGTTAGACCGAAATAATGTACTCGTTTGCCCCAAAACAATGTTGGACGTTTTATCACTATTCTACGAATGCAATCAACATTGAATGGTAGGGGAAAGGGGGAGGTTTTCTAAATTTACTATAATACTACGACATTTTGTCAAATAATTGGAAGTATCGCAGATGTTTTGTCCAGGATTGTAGTTTAAATTTTCCAACTATTTAATTTGCTCTCATTGGCTGTTTTATTAACTTTCAAAAACTAAAAAATAGCGTCGCGTTGTCGAATCGCATCCGGTGTGTCTGGACCTTTAAACAATGATCGCAGGCGTTTTTCGCAACAATCTGGGGCCGGTTGTATAAAAAAGTGATTAAAGTTAATCATATAGTTAAGTGGAAATGTCATCCAATAAGAAGCGCCTATTTGAGAGTTAATCACTATTTAACTACAAAATAGTGATTAAAAAAGTGATTAAGAGTTTTATACAACCGGCCCCTGGTAGTAAACAATGTAACGTCACGCGACCAAAATGGCAGGGTTTTTTCCAGCACTTCCAACCAATTCAGTAACAATTATTCGCCGAAGGCGAGGTGATCATTGGGGAATATTCGCCGATCGCGAGACGATGTCGAGATGAATGTTCCCCGATAATCACTGAGCCTAAGGCGAATAATTGTTTTAGTATTTTTGCACAAGTTTCTTTGTGTTTTTCTAATAATAATAATTTGGTCTGAATTCATTTTAATTTCGCTTATTTCTTTATCACTAACTTCAACAAAACGGCTAGCCGCCATTTTGAAAATTTCGAGTTTGTTATATTCACCTGTAGGTGAATATCACGGATTAATACGTCAAATTTGACCAATCACCTTGTAAGATTTGTTATGTTCACTTGTACAAAAATACTAAACCTCTTTAACAAAAGATAGCGCAATATATGAGGAAACCTGTACGAATATCTTAGTGTTCCTATGTTATTCCATTGCGAATCTTTTAGATGCAAAATGAATATAGGTTATATATTTTCTTCAAGTAAATTACATAATGAATCATTAATTACAAAAATGTTTCCTTTTCTTATATTTCTACTAAAATTACACTAAAATTATACAATTTTTGAGTTGTGTGTATATTTTTCAAAAGGAGGTGCATGGCTACAAATTTTGTTATAACTATAGCTGAGACTCTATGTCGTGTTAACTAAGCAGCTGATCTTGCATCTTTGCAGCAGGCTGCTCCATTTACTGTTCTAGAACATTTGGCACACTGTTCTGGAACGATATAAAATTCACAGGTACGATATAAGAGTCACATACGCTGTTCTGGAACAGTGTTGAGTTTATTATATATGCGTGCAACCATGCATTACTGCTGTTATTTGTACATCTACGTATGCTTTTGCATCGTTTTTACTCGTTGATTTTGCCTAACCCTGCATGGCTTTCAAATAGCATATAATAAGTATATGTCGAAATATAGCAGTGAACCCTTCAAAATAACGCTCTATACAGTGTGCATTGGATACACAAAATATGTCACCTCATTTCCAATCACGTGAAACTAGGCAATGTCACGTGTCTGTTCTGGCTGCCCCTACTCGAAAATCGGGGTAGTCATGAACAGTCATGTGACTCTTTTCTGTTCCATTAGTTTTCGGAAAATCCGGAGTACTCCGAACAGTAAATGGAGTAGCTTGTTGGCCGCTGGCATAGACATGCATATAGAGCGGAAACCTTTATACCAGATCATGGTTAGGGTATATTACAATTAACTGTACCAAGTACTGCAAGTTTAGTATTCGATGGCGTATTTTCTTTTGGCGAGTTCTTCCATTCTTTTATGGCGTGAATGTTTGTGTTTTGATAGAATATGTATATTCAGTAATTACTCGGGTACAGTAAACTTAATCACAAAGCTCAATCACATTCAAGGGCTAAGACAAATTGATTACCCTTTGTTCCATCAGTTGTTTATAATGTTGTTATTGTAGATGTTCCTATCAATTGTTGGTATCCTTGAAGCAGCATGAAATTCGTGACATTTTATAACATTATACAGTTCAGACGAGCAGGTCATTTCGGACCAAAATTTTCGACCGGGCCATCAAGATTTATACTTCCATGCTAAAGCGGTTAATAGATTTTTATATCGCTGAAAAAGGTTAACTTAAGGAGGTGTTCTTCGGGAGAAACAAAAACGATAACAAAGTCATATATTTTCGGCAACAAACCACTCGAATTGACCAAGTGATCAATAGTTCCATACAACCTTCAGCGTCCAATATTTTCTTATTACTTCACTGCAACCTGTTCATTTTGCGTCCAAAAAATTCGGAATGGATAGTTCTTGCCAATAAAGTCTGATCGAACGGGATTCGATGTAGTAAAACCACCAAAAAAGTAAAAAACCCTGATTTCGTAATACTATAGCTATAGGTTTTTTGGCCGGTTGAGCCACCATCTTGGATTTATCATGCAGGTGACGCCTCTTCAAGGCATGAGTCAGCAAAGTAGTTCTCCTATATCTATGTTTAGGACTCGTAGTTCTAATTATTCCAATACCAAGTATCCAGCGAGTAATGGTGTTCTATTATATTGAGACATTGCGCATGAACAAGGCCGAATGGCAAATGCCCGTACAAACAATTAAGTACTAAGATCGATCATCTGTTACAAATCCAAAATTTATATTGTCCAATCATAAAACAGTATTTATACCACGTGACGGTGTGATTTTTACGGCATTCTACCCAATTTTATGATTATGCAATGCAGCGCGAGATATATATAGGATATTAGACGGTTGCGAAGAGATATGGATTTTATGTTCGTGTGGCAAAAACAATATCTCACGAGTGAGCGCAGCGAACGAGTGACACATTGTTTTTGACACGAGAATGTATTTTCGCACTTGTTAATTTGGTATTTTCGCACTTGTTAATGGTACTATGGTATTTTCGCACTTGTTAATGGTACTATGGTATTTTCGCACTTGTCAATGGTACTATGGTATTTTCGCACTTGTTAATTTGGTATTTTCGCACTTGTTAGTACTATGGTATTTTCGCACTTGTTAATGGTACTATGGTATTTTCGCACTGTTAATTTGGTATTTTCGCACTTGTTAATGGTACTATGGTATTTTCGCACTTGTTAATTTGGTATTTTCGCACTTGTTAATTTGGTATTTTCGCACTTGTTAATTTGTTTTCACAAAACTCACTCGCTCATTGCACTCGCTCGTTCGTTTCGTGAAAACAAATTAACGCGTGCGAAAATACCATACGTCAGCACTTCCCATTAAGAAATCTCTATATATTCCATAGCAGATCTGCCACTGCATACTAATATCGAACGCCGACCGCATGCACTAGCATAATGAAAAATAAAACAATATGGCGTTCTCGAATGTTTTGTTATGCTCGATTGGAAACGATTTCTTTCTTTATCTAAGAATTTTCACATGAATATTAGGAGGTATGTTACCTTCAATGATCCAAAGAAAATATGTTCAAATCAAGGATGTTTTCCAGGGGATCGTGGGAAAACTCCATCCTTCAACAATATTCAGTGGGACAACTGCACTCACCCTGACAAAATTAAAAATTCAGGGAGAACGGCGTTCCTCTGACAGGACTGACAGGAGTCAATAAAACCACACAGACAGATGTTGGTATGTGTGTGTAATACAACCTGCAAACATGCATGCTTCGGTATTCGACGCCTCGGCAGTGCAGCTTAGTACACGTCTAGATATGTGGTGATGAAAATCGTATTTATATACAAGTGAGCTCCATTCATATCTGGAGTGAGAACTGGAGCCCGAAAATGAAGCGATCTAATTCAACGCGAAGACAAAAACAATAGAAAGGGACTCGGGAACTGACGTCCAAAAGCGGCTTTAATGTCCGCCATCTTGGCAATGAGTGTGTCGAAATTTCGCATTTGGAGATTGATTTAAAGAATAACACTTTGGTTTTATCACATGTAAATTTGGCTACATATACGTTCTGTTAGAAAAAACTTGACTTAGTTTGGGAAAATGATATAAAACCTGTCTACGACCTTCAGCTGAGCTATTGGACGTCAATAGCCACCAGTTTGGCTTCACTTTTCTCGTATAAGCCGAATGACTGAAATTCCTGCTCCAGATATAAATGAAGCTCGCTAGTTTATACTCATGAGCTTGCTCTCACCAAGTGCATGTCAGTGACACTAACGCACCAGACATGCACAGAGTGTCATGGGCAAGGGCGCGCAAATGACCACATAGGAAGTGATCCTATGTGAATTAAATGACCACGTCCATTCAATTTTCACGTCCATTCAATTTTGAAAACATCACTAATTAAAATATTTTCAAAAGAGCGAACGTCAAAAACTCGGATATAATAAAAAATTAAAATGAAACATTGTATTCGTGTAGTTGTTCAGCAAGTTTGTTTGCAGCATAATATATTATTTATGAACCCTCTCCTCGAAGCCCCTTGGGAAAAAATCATCACTTCGGGTAATATTTCGCCGAATCTCCCTCGCTCCGTCTCCAAGTCAAATAAATTATACTGAATATCGATGGAACTAGAATGAGTTACGAAAATATCACCTTAGCTCAGCCGGTAAAGTATTGGCGTATCCAAGTAATCCAACCAAATGTCGCGGATAAACGGGGCCTTTTTAAACTATATAACTGGAGGTATAATGCAACACAAAAAATAATGTATACCCAAAAATCTGTCCCTTTTTGTAGATGTCCCCCACAGACGAAATCTTAGAAAAAGCCCTGCGTATAAACGCCATGATTATCTAATATCAACATCGTCATCACCTAATTATATATAAGCATCATCATCATCCAATTTAAATCTCATAAATTTTTCTTTATAGGCATGAAATTCTCACATAAAAAGTATCTCATCGTGTTAACAACGGGCTCAAATAAAGGTCCAGTTGCGAAAATTAAGGTCGAAGCATCAACAGCTAGTATTTCTTATAGTATCACGGGAGCACGCTCATTAATAGACATCAACAATGGCGGAGTACTGATGTTAATGGAAAACCTCGACGCTAAAATTGTGTCTGCATTGAACAACACCGAGATTACAATCGTAGCTAGTAAACAGGGTACATCGGAGAAAGCTTCAACTATAGTGATTATCATCATTCTACCTTTATATTTTGGTGATCAGTACATTCCTCAGATCGCTATGGAGGAAGATTCCAGTGTGAAAGAAAAGCAGTCGCAATTTAAACACATCACGCCACGTGTTTTGCTTCGCTTCCTAAGACGACCGTCGCCAACTGCTAGAAGAATCGCATTGGCTCAATTGAAATTAGAAACGAAAATTATGAAAATTAAGAAAATGATTATCAAAAGAATTGGTAAGCAAACAGCAAGTGAAAACCCAAAATATTATCCATTTCTACTTTTTTTTGTTCCTTTTTTTTACAAACTTAGTCATAAATGATAGGTTAACCCTACAGAGCTTATTGCTCCATTTACAGGGTCCCTAATAATATGTATATATATAAAAAAAACAAAAAAACAAACATTATTTACAACCCATTTTATCCACAAGACTGGACAACGGACGACACGAGTGACACTTGACACATATACTTTTAAATATTTGTGGAGCATTAATGTTATATATTATTTGTTTAGTCATTGCTTCATAATAAGTTAACTAGGCCAAGAAGTAGTATTTCTTGTTTTGTGAATACGAAAGTTAACACACTCTAAATAATTATTCAACTCTTCGTTATTGACTGTCTTGACTAATGTAATTGCCAAGACATTATGTGATTAGTATAATCATCATGCAATTAGCAAAGTAATTATACAATTAAGAAAAACACTATGCAATTAACAAAGTCAGTGCGGGGAGCTGTGGTGACTCATGCAGTCGTCAAATCTATCGCATTTCATCCTCGGAGATCGCGTGTTTGTTTTATTCATGTGACAAGAGTCTGGCAACGTTTTCCCGGGCATATAGATTACCTCGCATAGAGAAGGTTGACAAGATCAGGGACGCCAGAACTGGGGGGCAGGAGGGGCAGCCGCCCCCCTTGCCCTTTACCAGGAGGGGCAAGGGAGGCCAAGGTGCCCTTTCAATTTAAAGGATTGCCTTGGCGAAATAGCGAATTGTCAGAAATGTTAGTGCAATTCTGTTAAGAATTTGCTTCAGAAAACGCAAGAAATGCAGTCATCGAGCTTCAAGAATAGCACAATTGCCTGGCGGAGAACCCCCTCACACCCCTATCATCCAATAAATAGAAAACATGATTAGGCGAAGTTCAACTGCCTGATGTTTTGCAAACATCTCTTAGTATATATCAATTCAAAAGTGCCCTTTCACGAAAATCTGCCCCCCCCCCCTTCCCTTCACATCGTTCCGGCGTCCCTGGACAAGATGGGTTGGGATAAACATAATAAACATAGTTAGGAAAGTAAGAGGCTGTTTATATGGTCCCGCTTACCTGGGATTTAATGTAGTGTGACGTATTTCGAACAATTGATATAAGTCGCATTTCATGATCTAACAAAATTGCTTGTTACAAATTGTACGAAATTCCATGTTTTAGGCAAAGAACAAATGTTTTTAAAGAACAAATGTTTTTGAATGCTATTAATCATTTTCTTCCACTACATAACTACTTCTAGCGCGTTCCAACAATATTTCAAGTTATTAAACTTATGTTTAGGGATGAAACACGTATTTCAATTGCTCAAAATACGTCACACTTCATTGAATCCCGGGTAAGCGGGACCATATAAACAGACCTTAAACATCGCAATTGCATGCATAGTGTAACATTAATAATCTTGGTGAAAGCGTAATACTTGATGTAAATGGTAAGTAAGTAAGTGTAAGTATAAGTAAGCATAACACTTGATGTAAATGGTCACTGAAAAGCTCCGAGAGATATAATGTATGCATGTGCAATCACACGTAATTTTGACTGCACATTTTTGTACAAAGTTGCACATATATATGCCGCAGAAGCACGCCCTTCCGCGCATAAGCCGCGTCGAAGCTGCGCAGAAGCACGCCCTTTTATAACACACACTTATAATAATGTGCAACCACAAACCAGGCTTCAATTGATATTCAAAAATGCCAAAACCAACATACACTGCACACAGTGCACAGCACCCAAGGTCGCCTCAGGAAATTTGTGGGCTCAGGGCAAATTTGACTTGGAGCCTTCATGATTCCATTTTCTAACACAATGATTAGGGAGTATTCTCTGTGGGAAAACTTTAAAATATGAGGTCCCAGAATTGGAGAAATCCAGCTGCAATCTGGAAGTATAGTTGACAGTAATATCTATGTACATTTCACTATAATTCTGTATTTGGGATTATAGTGAAATATATTTATAGCATTTATAGTATTTTTTATAGTGTATTTTATTTTGTTTTTGGGATTCCCTTTTTTAACTGGAACCCCAGGAAAATTTTCCCCCTCCACATCTCTTGGCGGCCTTCGTAGCACCTGTAGTTACGACTATTGTGACGGTATAGTTCCATAATAACATGCTTGTAGAAAAAATATATTTTCGTTTTCGCAAATGCAAGGCTTGTAGACGTGAAAAACTTCTATAGTGGAGTTTCAGCAACATGCGCCCACAGAAAATTGCGTAATCTAGGCTCTCTAAAAGGGCATTTCTTGCAATGTGCGGGGACTCTCTATAGAACTCTGAAGATTATTCACTAATTACAAAAATATCAAAGTAGATCTTTGGTGAGAGGTAATAATAATTATTAAATAATTTGTTCATTTGATGAACCTTAAGTACAATATTATTAATACGGTAATTCTTTCTATAAAAAGAGACTGACATCAACTGCACAATTATACTAAACGTTGCGCACTCTGTTTGCATTAAATTTTCTGAAATTTTTTAGCCGAGCGATTTCGCGATGCTCTTGTCCAGGCTATTCTACACATCAAAACACTGTTCTCAAAACAAATGATGGAAGAAATGGACGACGAATCAAACTGCCTTGAACCAACTGTGGCTAGCAGATGTGATTATCGTGCGAGGTATAGAACATTTGATGGTACATGTAATAACCTATGGCACCCCAATGAGGGAGCATCCGAGAGAGGTTTTGAACGACTATTGCCTGCGTTGTATTTTGATGCAGACGGACTTAATGATCCAATTGGATATCCCAACCAACCAGGTGCGCCTACAGTACCATCACCACACAGGGTCAGCCGAGATTTCATCAAAGACGAGATAGCCGCTTCATCGTCATCAGCAACATTGACCCACGCTGTGATGCAGTTTGGTCAGTTTATTGACCATGACTTAGATTTAGCTACTGACGTCGAATTTGAAGGAAGAAATACTTGTCTTGATCTGCCGTAAGTGATTTTAAATGTTTTAATTAACTTCAAAGGTTGATCTTCTTCATTAAATAAAGTATATAAGTAAATATCAGAATTTTTGGACATCTCACTCCGTTGATTGCACCAGAGGTTCGATTCCTGCCAGAGGCATATAGTTGTACTTTTTGCAGCTGCTCCTGGTTAGGTCTTAAAAATGCACGAAATTTTCCCTCAAAATTTCCATTTACAAAATGCTACAACATTAGTTCAAACACGGTTCAAACGAGTGAGAAGCCCCCAAAATCATGATAATTACCCAAATACCTGTACCTTACCATGGCATGGCATCACCTTAATATTTGCATATAAACTTGTGGTTAAAGCTTGGCAACTGAATCTGTAGCTCAGTTGGTTAGAACGGTGCACCGGAATCGCAGGTTCGATTCCTAGCAGAGGGTTGATATATTTGTATCAAAGCTGCTCCTCGTTAGGTCTTAATAAAATTTACATTCGATATTTCTATCTACAAATTAATTGTACATTTGTATACGGAACACAGTTTCCGAATTTTTGTCATTTAAAACAATAGTACTAATTTGGGCCAGCTTCACGTATGCATGGATTTAAATATGCTTATACCTTGGTGTTACGAAGTGAGCACTGCATATGGTGTAAGAACTTCAGTCGCTTGGTCTAAGAGAAAAGTGACGCGAAGACAGTAGTCTAGGACCTGTATATGAGTTTGTATGCATTTCATTTAGGAAGAGCAAATTGACCATGATGGTCGACATGGTAACGCTGCCCGAACCCCAATCCGGGGGGAAACGTCCGAAACTGACCACACCCAAAAACGACGCTCTCACCATAGTGATATCTACCAAACCATAAAAGCTTTGGCTATTCTGAGGTGCTTATATGGTTCAGAGATGGTGCTTTTAGGGGTGGTCATTGGTAAGAGTGAAATGCCTAGCACTGATATTTCACAAGAAAATGACCATGCAATACTCGTAGTCAATTTGTGACTTACAAATTCAGATAAACAGCAGTGGACCTACATTACCTTTTTTCCTAAATCTTTTTTATAGAAACATAATTGGTATAGTAAGTACATTATCACTGCTTTACTGTAAAATAGTTAATACTTTGTGACCGAAATAATAATTTGAAATGTACCTACCTCCTGCAAATGGACGTATTTGGCCAAATTCTCCACTTTACTCGGCTGTTTATCGCCAATATCGTTGAAATCCTTCCAAATATCTACGGCAACTCAGACAAAATGGTATCAAGCACATTTTAAACAAGTTTTAAATAGGTTTCAAGCAGATCCTAGCTGTTTCACCATCGACAAGGTAAAACCACAACTTTGTCCAATTCGGCGCCATTTTGTCATCCCATGTCGGTTGTAAACATTTCGCCCTTGTTATTCTTCCATTCAAGCCATTTTCATTCGAATAATAATAAATTGAACCCTTTGTTAAGGGTATCAAAATAAATATGTAAACAAAATAGAAAAAATGCAGCATTTTATCACCCTGTAAAATCTTGCTTACGAGTCTTTCAAAACATTCCGTACAAATCTCGCGTGGCAAAGCAACAGGGGGGGGGGGGGGGG